CCCCCCACACACCCCAAACCCTGAAAACAGAGGCGGCGACTGATTACACATGCGAATGCAAAGAGCAAAAGCGAAAAATTTCCTCCCCCACACCAGGATGGAGGACTTGGTTATCCTTTGGGCGCTTCACATCACATGAATCCGGCCTTTGATCCTCCTGATGTCCCATTCAGTTCCATGAATTTCTCATATTCCAAGGAACCCATTCAAACTTGGTCGGGCCCATTGGTGGACCCCTCTGCTGTCGGTGCTCCACGAAGAAAGACGAAGCCATCGAAGAAGGATAAGAACTCCAATCGGAACGAGGAGAAAGGTAACATGTAATATATCACTATTCTATACTTTCAGCAAAATCAACACTTTGAGGAGCACACACACTGCAAATTCATGTCTTGTATCTGACTATTTGAGAGGTAGAGTATCTTTCGTTTCCACATTTGTTTCTATCATTTTTGGTATCATGAGGTATTATAAATGTTAAATTCTTTTCCTCGTGCGTTGACTTACAGTGTCTTGATTAGTGAAGAATTATAATAAGAACTCTAAATATTTCTTTGTTTTTCATGATTTATTCTTAATTTTGTGGCTTCCATTGAGACAAAACCTACTTTTTCATGCAACTTGATTCCCCATTTTACGACATTTTTTATATTACTAACGCTCTAGCGAGTCTGAACCATACTTTACCAGTGGACGGGCAGTTGTAATTGAAGTCTCGCTATATTCACGAGAACAACTTTTCTATGATTCTGGGTGATTTTAAGCACTTCTCTACAAATTCACTCTCTATTTTGCTTTTTGGAAATGCTGCAGTAGGTTCTATTTTCTGCGTTGCTTTGTTGATCGTTAGTAAATCATATGAACCCTTTCTTTCATTGATATATCCACTCTAAATCACTCTTGAGCTATACCAGTCATAATGAATGTCTGTTCAAATGCTTTGTGTCATAATGAATGTCTGTTCAAATGTTTTGTGTTGAATTAAGTTGTCTGTTCGAATGTATTAGGAAAAAAATGTTAAATTTATTCATTAAAATAGTACATTATGAATAATTAATTGATCAGTTGCATATTGGGGAAGAATAATCATTTGATCATATTCATTTGACTTAGTGATGAAATAATTGTTCCCACTATAATTTTTTCATAGTTGTCAATTCAATCATATTGCCGGACAGCACAATTTTACCTAACTTTTGGCCCCATTACGCCATATGGACCATATAGAGCTTGGCACATAGAATCAAATCTATTATCAAAGTGCTTGATTGACGTTGAATAAAACTCCCTTGGGGACAGGGTCGAAGACAGTGGCGGCCCTCCCACCCCTGTCATTGACCCTGCTCCCAAGCCGGGACAGGGAGCACTTTTGATTCACGTTATAGTAGTCGATTTTCTCTTCCTTCGCCATCAAAAGGAGTTTAGCATTCTCTTTACATCTATTATTTAACGTCGGAAGGTGTTACAATTACAATGAATCTTGATTTTAAGTATAGTCATGATCTTAATATACTTGCTACTACTAACTTTAACGTACCAGCAAGTGTAAGATATAACAATCCACACGTTACATGTCTTGGTTGTATTTTGTTCGTGGATATAAATTATTTGACGTTCGAGAATTCTACATGAGATGTGTATAATGTATTCAATAGTAGATCCATAAGCGTACATAATAGACACTAAAATTTACGACGACTATTAAATGTTGAGAAGACCGAAGAATATATCAATGATAACATTTCATTTTCATCATGGATATTAGAAGGAATCCTTGCGTGTTTGTAAGTTAGATTAGATTATAGTAAATAATTAAAAAAAAAAAAAAAAACGTTTGTTCAAAGCTAATTTTTTTTTTTTTTTTTTTTTAAATGAAGGGGGGACCTATAGTTGTGAGTTGACACAATAGCTTACAAATCATGTCAGTCAGGTAAATCGCATTAGACAAGTCCGGTGCGACAGACTCGATCGAGAAAGTGTTGGCATGGAGAATTGAACTCTTGACCAAAGGTCTTCACGCTTACTTACTCCGCCAATTCAGGTGTACATGACACCCTTCTATTAAGAGAACTATGCATTCAGGGAGCAATTTTTTTTTTTTTTTTTTTTAAATGAAGGGGGGACCTATAGTTGTGAGTTGACACAATAGCTTACAAATCATGTCAGTCAGGTAAATCGCATTAGACAAGTCCGGTGCGACAGACTCGATCGAGAAAGTGTTGGCATGGAGAATTGAACTCTTGACCAAAGGTCTTCACGCTTACTTACTCCGCCAATTCAGGTGTACATGACACCCTTCTATTAAGAGAACTATGCATTCAGGGAAAAAAAAAAAATACTCACTACCCTATAATTTTGTTATTGAAGTCTCAAAGTCGATTATTTGTGTGTGTATATTTATGTGTTAGTCCAATTTATATGTAAAATCTGATATCTCACTTTTGTGGGGTGTGAACTTCCGTGTTCGAGGGAAAGAAGAATCTAATATGCCTTCCAGACATCTTGATTCAAATTAGAGTAATCCAATTGGTGATTAATTGTAAACTTTATTTTAATCAATTATATAAAGGAGAATCCATAATCATATAAATTGGTGTGCTAAAAGCACCTATAATGTAATTTATGAATTAATTTTTAATTTGCATGACATTAATATTTGGACCATACTACATTCACACAATCATTTACACAATGGTTTACACACTTGACACTTGGCCGCCCCCTATTGGAGGGACAGCTGGCCCACCAGCCACCTCTCCAATAGGGGACGACCAAGTGTCGAGTGTGTAAATAATTGTGTACAAATAGTTTTATCCTTAATATTTAATGAATAACAGTCGAGTTCAAATTTCATCTTCAACGTGTTATTTCTATAACTCAAACTTCTTCAGATGAATATTTAACCCTTGTTTGATTCTCATTCTTATAAACATTTATTTTTTCAAAACTCATTTTTAACCATACATTTTTCATTAAAATAATATTATATGTAAAAATGGGGATCAAACAAAGGCTTAATAAGAGACCCAAAAATTAACAAATAGGAGAGGGAGGGAGAGAACATTAAGCTTTAATTTATTTTAATAAGATGAAAAACATATACGTATATCAATCTATGTGATTTCGTTATTATTTTAAGAAAATAAGACACCCATATATCAATCCATATAATGAATTGGAGTCTTTTGTTCTTGAATTTCAGTTTATTAAACACTAATGTCACATAAACCAAGTCTTTCAAATTTCGTACTACCTAGATAACAATTCATAAAAAGCATCGGAGGTGCTCTAACCACCACTAGTACTAGATAATATTTATTTTCAAATTAACACGTAGACTTCGTGTTGAATAATGCTATTCATCAGTGGTGTTGACGATCACCAGCCTAACTGACATTAGACCACATAATACTTAGTAAATGGATCACAATTCTATTTTAAATAATAATAAAAAATAAAAATAAAAATAAAAAACCCCATTACCACCGATATTAATAGATTTGTGTCTAGTGCCAAAAGTCTATGATTGTTAACAAACAACTTTAAGTGCATACACAATGAACAAAAAATATTCAAATTAAACATTTTTTTTTTCATGAATGTATACTGGGCTGAGCAAATAACGGGAAAAATCTCAGGACCAAAGCACAAGTTACACGCTCAAAACTCTAGCCCATTCTGTAGGGCCCACCTAAAACGTTTGTTGAACGTCTACACCATTCATATTAGCGAGCTGTATAGTACTTGACAATATGAAAAAAGCAAAACGAACTAACATATACGACTTGTTTGATATATTGAAAGAGGCAAGTTGCTAAAGCACGGAAAAATTGCGCCATTAGCTCTCTAGAAAAATAAGTTGGGGACCAAATTGCCACAAGGTCTGCCAGTTGGGGACTAGTAATACAATTTCCCTTAAAAATTTGTTTTGAGTATGGTACGAGGATAAGTCATAGAAACCCTTTTAATGAAAGAAGCAAGAAAAATTAAAATATCCACAACAGCCACAAAAGATTGTTTCAAAAACAAACAAGTATGCACATAAAGGAATAGAGGGAAAGAAAAAATAGACAAATTTCTACACTTCTAAATATTTTCCATATTACCATTACTAAAAGTTCAAAGACAAAAACACAGAAAAGTGAAAAAGAGATGGAACTATCTTCTTTGCATCTTATTTGTCAGCATTCACAATACAATCACTTCCCCGGAAATTAAGAAACATGGAGTTAGTGCAGAGGTCATGAGCAGCCCAAATATATTTGATTAAAACATCATATGTTAATAAACCAATCAAAACAAATATGATGTTTTACCCAAGTTCAAAGCAAAACGGCGTCCAAAGTCTGAAATGACTGGTTATGAAAGAGAGAATATAAACTTGTGCGTGTAGGAAAGTGAATTTGAAGAAAATGCTGTCAAGATATGACACAAAACGATGAGATAGGAACATGATCATGGCCACCATTAAAGAAATTTAGAAAAAAGAACAACGCGAGATGGCAACTTATAAAACACGTAACTGTATATTTTCGACTTATTAGGCATATGATCACATACCACAAGGTAATTAAGGCAGCACAATGTCATTTGTTTGACTAAGACATTTTATGAACAAGGGAATTAGATTTATACCACTCAATGTGTATCATTCACGAGTACTTTTAGTATCAAAGCTGCTAAGAGAGATGGCAAATGCCTGGAATGCCGATAGCGGATAGCAATAGTCCATAGTGAACACATCTTTCCCAACTTTCCCAAACTGAAGGAGGATCTTCTCGTTTTCTGCCCCAACCAAACCATTCTCCGGAGAAGCCACCAACTGAAAGTTCTTCACTGATGCAACTGTCACCCGTCCATGAAAGTTCAAACACCAGCAATGAAGCTGCTGATTCCATCTTGGAGCCTCATTTCTCAAAACGAGCGATGCATCTCTTTGGCTATCCAAAGGCATTGACAGGGATTTATCCAATCCATTTGGCTTTGACCGGAAAAATGGATTCGCTGGAAAGGAATCTGAATTGCTGATGGGGAAATCGATCCGCGTAGGAGCTACACCTCCAGGTTTAATGGCAGAAGCTGGAATTGCATCCATGATACAATGCATTCGTCTTGGACTCCTGGATGTTGCATAAATTTGTTGGTATACTAGTATCCAATCCTTCAGGTACTTAATAACATAAATCATTTTATGACTTCATCCCAGTGGGCAATACCACGGGCATTACTTAAACAAGTAACTTTGTGAATCATTTTCCTCTTTGAGGAGACTTTCAAATAAGTTCAAGCATTTTCTATTTAAACTTTTGACCATCTCTGTTGATTGATAAAACTAAACGAACAGCATAAATCTTCTTCTTACCTGGCTCCCAGCACATTCAACTCATATGTGATCTGGGCAATTGGATAGTTGCCAGCAGGAACTCTTGGAGATATTTGTTTTAAGCCAACCATCTGCGTGGAGCGAGATCGGAGCATTTTGGCTCCAGCATGGGGAGGCAGAGCATCGTATACAACAAACTTATTTCCCAGAAAATTGGATCTGGTGAAATAAAAAGCTGCTGTTATCAAGTCTCTTCTGGAAATACGAAGTATCATTCAACAAGCTAAAAGTTGAGACACACCTCAATTTTCCTATATAATGGCTGCTTGCCCTGAACATATGGTCAGGGTGTAGAGAAATCACGTATTCTGTGAACGAGGGGCGCCTAAACCTACGAGCAGCTAGAAGAAACTTGCCATCATCAGCCAGAGCTGCCACAGAAGAGAAGAATGAATGTCAAGAGAAAACAAGGCAACGTCTGCGAATCCTCTTGTCAAGAAATATCACAAAGATAACTGGAAAAGAATGATGAGCAGTAGACAATACATACAAGAACAATCTAGCTAAGCTAGAAGTAGTTGGGACCACAATGCAAACCTTGACTTAAGCTGAGGTAAAGATAATGCATTTGCGTAGCGCGATTCCTTTTTACAAAACATTGGACAGGAGATACCCTTGGACCTGGCTGTAAAGCAGAAAAAGGTTTCTAAGAATGTATAAGATACTAAATGCATTTGATAAAAGCAGATATTTTGCCTCGTGCTCCCAAAGTAAAATATTAATTGAGGGAGGGCGAAAACTTAAAAAAATTGGCATGTCGTCGCTAATAAATACGATATACGTAGCATAACATGAAGAACAGACAAAAATTGGAGAATGACGACAACATGGAAGAACTTTTCATTACGGTAGCAGGTTCAAGAAAACCAATGAACGTCAGCATTGGCATTCGTTCGACTTAAAAGCTGTTAGCTTGTCCTTGAAGTCACTAAAAGAATCTCTTTATCACAATAGGTGGAGCACAATTAAAATTGGAAGTTTAATATTCTGAAACTACAAATCGATTGGTTGAGATTTCTAACTTTTTTCCGTCAAATCCATATAAATAGGAAAAACAATTCCCATCCATGTCGCTGGAGAGGATACATAAAATTACCTACTTGATGCAAAAATGTAAAGATAAAGACAAGAAACTAACAACTTCAAAAGGAAAATCCATGCACTTCACAAAATTTAACCATCTGAAATTTCAGGAACAAATTGAAAAATGTAAATATTCATAATCATGGTCAGTGCACTTTTATTAATTCTATCACCTAAATTTAGATGACAAGAGTCGACCAGAAATTTCCCCCTTGTATGATCATCCATCTGGCTCTATAAAAGTAAAGTCAAAACTTGACAGCACCAAGAATTTCGTGTAACTAGCTTTTGAAAGTCCAAAAATTATCTATATGATCACACCTTCTTCAAATAAATTCTCGGCCCAATATATATATATATAACTTCAGGTCAATAAAGTAATAGATCTAAGATCCATAAAAAATAAACAGCACTGAGCCCTGTCCTTTATTTCAATAGTTCTTTTCCCACCAACGAGGTAACTTTCACTATGATAAGATTGTAAAAGAATAATCAACTTCACAGTATATCAATATTTAGAAAAGCCTGAAATTATAAAAAAATCAAGAACCTCTAATCCTAAAACAACAACCTTTCCGAAAAAGAGCACTGAGCCATAAAAATTAAACAGTACTGAGCTCTGTCCTCTATTTCAGTAGTTCTTTTCCTGCCAACGAGGTAAATTTCACTATGATAAGATGGCGAAAGAATAATCAACTTCACAGAATCACACTATGTAGAAAAGCCTGAAATTATAAAAAATGAAGGACCCCTAATCCTAAAACAACCATCTTTCCAAAAAAGAGTTAAATTTCACGCACAGGGGATCAAGGAACAGACTTAAAGTTATCAGGAAGATGTACACCAGTCACCTTAAAAGACAACTCCATGGAGGTTCTCTACATTCATTAATGTCAAATGAAAATACTAAATAATCAATCTAACTATGAACATGAAACGATATCACTTTTCAAATCACTTATTCACATCAAAAGATACAAATTATCTTTGTGAAATCACCACAAGGTCCCAAACCATAAACCATACTTAAACAAAACTAAAAAATCAGAAACTGCCCAAAACAAAAATCATCCAGAAAAAACAATCAACAAAACTAGACTCAATTTACTAAAGTCTAAAACAAAACAAGCATAAAAGATATTTACAGAAAAGTCTTGAGAAAACCCACCTGCTTAATGGATATAGGAAAAGTGATTTTGCCAGAAACCTCGAGGGTTTTGACCAACTCCTTAATTATCTCCCTCCAGCTTTTACACACGCCAGCACACGCCACTACGTGTTTTCTCGCGGGCCAACTGGATTCAGAATCCTCTATCTTCATTAACACTTCCCTCAATAGCTCTGAAGGCATGTTTGCCCAATAGCAATTCCCTCCCTCAATTTCATCCATATCCCTGTTATATATCTTCTTTTTTTCTCTGCATGTATGTATATCTATATCTATATTTCCATCTTTATACCCTCCTGTTCAATTAGCTTATTCGTATGCCATTCTGGGCACCTAAAAAATCAAAAATAAAATAAAATAAAATCCATAAAATTAGCTTAGCTTAAAAATTTACAAAATTGGGTATATCAAAACAAAACCAAAAAATAGACAGAATAAATTTTTGCATACATTTATATGCTTGCTGCTTGAAAGGTGAACAGGAATAGTTAAAAAGATCTTGAAATTGAAACCCAGTCGGTGGGCTTTTTCTTAGGTTTGTGATAAATGATAAGAATGCTGACGGAAATGGGAGTTGGGCTAGGGTTTGGAGTGATGTATACATACAAAAGATATGCATATGACGACAGTGTCTATAGAATTGTAAGGCAACAGGTAATAAAGGGAAAGACGATAAATATTTCTCGCTGTCGTTCGTGGGCGCAGGGGTAATAGGTGTGGGTAGTGCATGAGCTTAAAATGTAAAAACTTAATTTAGAAATAAGTAAATTATTGCATTATGTAAGACTAACTTTTTAAGAGAGTTTCTAATGTAAATATTGTAGTTTTTATGAATGATTTTTATACCCTACAGTCCTAATCATTATGATCGTTATCTCCTTTGTAGCCCTTATTCTTTCATGTAAATAGAGTTTTTGTTATTAATAAAACACACAAAATTTATTGACTTTTCTTTCTTTCTTTTTTTCTCTTTCTAGTCTATAACATGTTACATCACTATTCTCTCAAAATTAAAGTAAATTAGTTAAAAAGGTAAGTATAATCATTTGTTATGTGTACCAAAATTAATTTGATGACTTGTAAATTCTTTCGATGCACATATACATCATAACGATGTTGCTTCTTTTTCTTTACTTTTTGTTTGTATGCATTTTAATTCTAATTCATATCTGTATGTGTGATCTGTACATGGTTTATTAAGTAAATTCATACTTTACCATTAATCCATATACAATCAATTATATCACATATTATTTATGTATTAGTTCTGCATTTTGATTTTGCTACATATTAGTTCTGTGTTTAATTTTACATTGAGTTTTCGTAGGTGGAATTTATATGCATGTTTAGCCCCAGTTTGTTTTCCATTATTTGGCCATTAAAATGAAAAATATGACCGTTATCCATCACATCAAGTTACCATATTTGAATTTACATCTCTTATGCATGCCTCATAATGACTATATTTTTCATTCTCATTCTTACATTAATGGGAAACAAATGGAGCTTTAGTATCTTTTACATGTTGGTAATGGATTTAACCAATGAAAAATTTAATCAATTTTGTTAACTTGTATATATGAAGATTTTTTTCCTAAAGTATGTTTGGTAATTAATTTTTACACATAAATTCATATCTCATTTGTTTGATAATTAATTTTTACATCATATGCTGTTTGAACCTGATTAAATTTTTTAGATACTCATTTGTAAATTTTAAATTAATAATCTATCGTATTCTTGCTCTTGAAGTAGCACAACATTAAAATTAATATTCCAGAAGAATATTACTTGCTCCTTAAAAGTGTGAATTTATTCCAGAATAATATTGACATGTTGTTCCTGAAGAAGAACAACTATGTAAATATTATTTCCCATAGAAAATATACTCTTGAAGAGTAGGGCTGTATAAAAAAAAAAAAATTGCGAAATTGCAAACCGAACCGAAATCATTGGTTCAAGTACATGTGGACCCCTGATTTTTATTCCATCAAATCGAACCAAATAGTTTCAAAATGGTTTGGTCTAGGTTTCGATTTTCAAAAATCACACAAAATTGAACCTAACCTTTTTAGATTTTTTAATTAAAACATTAATTTTATTAATTTATAAATTTTACAGTTTTCACTATTCAGAAAAAAATACAAAATTAGCAATACAAATTACAACCTGCCCATTGAAATAATCATAAAAAGTAAATTAGGTTCATCATTATTAACATATGGTTTAAGAAGTTCACAACACGTGAACTAAACTAAAATTATTTCCAAATTATATAAAATGCAAAATAAATAAATATATATAGATATATAGTAGCAAATCACGTCCAAAACTTCAAAAGCTCAAACGTAAACTCTTATTTCCTACAATTTGACGCTTGTCTGCCACTATTCAACAAATTATCAGTTGTCTTTTGCTTGTTACTCTGCTAATTTTTACCTGAATCGCGTATTTTTCTCTTCTCTCTAGGTAAGTCTCAGATTCTCATTCAAATCATTTTTTTATTGTTATTTCTTTTATTTGTTATTTTTGAACTTATTATACACTTGTGAGTTGTGGTTTGGATAGAAAAATAATTATTTGTGTGTCTAAATGATTAATGAACTTGTTTCTGGTTTGGAAAGAACAAAGGACGTGGTTTATTAATTGTGTGAAAATGTTAAAGTTTCCTAACTAGTATTACTACCTCCTACTTTCATAAAGCAATTGGAGAATGAAATTCGTCAATTTTCAATAAGCCTAAACTCTATAAATCTTTGTATATCTAAACTTATTCGGTTCAATTCTTATTTAACATCTCACTAATGAGACGAAATGAATTTTAACCAAATTATAATATCAAAATGTGACTCTACCTTTACCGACCACTATGTGACAATATGAAATTCAAACAAGAAAAGATAAATAAAAATGAAAAAGATGTATTTGTTCTATTGACGTCTTTTAGCAACCAACTTTGAAAATAATTTTTTCATATGTTTATGATAAATATGAATGTAATTTAACATTTAACATTATTGGTTCTCGTTTCATCTTATATGTTAATTTGCTTTAAATATATTACTATAATGTCGATAGGTAAACTGCAAATTACAACCGAACTGAACCAAATCGTAAATTATGCTTTGTTTTGATTTGGTTCGAAAAATAAAATGACTTGATTTGGTTTGAAAAAATTTCAAATCACATAAAATGATTTGAGTTGAAAATATAGCACAAACAGCCCAAATCGAACCGTGTTCACCCCTATTGGAGAGTTAATATTTTATAAATAGTAATTTATTATTGCTTCTAAAGTAGAATACTATTATTTATATTTTAATTATATTTTACTTTATCTCAAAGAGCATAATTAAAAATTATGTTTTTAATACTAAAGAGTAAATTCTTTATACAATTTATCATTTTAATTAATAGTATATTATTACTTCCGAAGAGCATGACACTATGACTCCAATATTTTAGAAGAATATTGATATGTTTGTTCTCGAAGAAACGATACTAAAATACAATGTGCTCTCGAATGAAAAACATATAACTCATATCATATTGACGTTGATTTGTATGTCTACTTGATTGAATATTATACGAGCATATAATATTTAATCATATTCTTTGAAATTAAGATCCTGTTTGGCTCCCATAATTTGAAATTTTAATGGTTTTAATAATTTTTTTTTTTTTAGGAATATGCGGTTAAAAATTTTTAAAAAATTGGGATCACGTGTAATATTATTTTATGGAAAAATATATGGTTGATAAGAAGAAAGAAAATAATTAATTATAATTTTAATGGGGTCAAACAGGGCTAAATAATTGAATTATATATTATATTGAACCAAAAGTTAAATTTGATCTTATTTTATTTTTCCATAACTAGTTGTACTATCACTGAATTAATAACGATGCAAAATTAAAAATTAAAATGGATATTCATGAAGAACTAGAAGATTCTTCAATCCAATGAAGTTATATATGATATTTATTCTCTTTCATTAAAATTTTTCATTAACAATCACTATCTAAAATATGAACTGAATTTTCAATATTTCTAAAAATTAATCAATGTGATAAATGAGATCCCATCATCCTCCATATTGACCATCTAAATATTATTTGTCTTTAATAGATTTGATACAAGTACTATGTAATTATATAGTGTTCTCACCCTAAAGTTTGCGAAATTATTGCTCAAATTATGAGCATAATTTTTAGATTATACAATCAAGAGGGTGTATTGTTAATGTTAGTGATCCTAAATCTCAACTTTTTAATTAGTGTTGTTAGTTGAGATGTCGATAAATGGTTTGACACTATTATTTATTGAATGCGTTCTGTTAATTTAATTGATAAAAAAGTACTTCTCATTTCTGTCTTGGAAATGCTATTGTGCATCATGCCAATAGTTCTCAATATTATAATTGGCTTATGGTTAAAGCCTAATTTTTTCATCTAATTATTTTGATGGTACAATATATATAAATATGATCAATTATAATGCACTGAGATGGAAAGTAAGGAATGCTGGGAATAAATGCGTAGTTTTAACATTTATCCCAAACAAGTGATATTTTATAACACCGAAAAAATGACTTCAATCTGATTGAACAATTCTCTCAACATTGAGGGGAGGAATTAAGAAGTTAAAAATAATGTATAAATACATTATCCTAGCAAAAGATGATTTGAACCAAAAGCTCGAAAGATAATTTATTTAAATGTATTTACTGATCATTAAGATTAACAAAATCTCACACAACAACTTTAAATGCTCCAATTCGAATTAAGTTCTTGGAGGACAATTATTTAATAATATACTTGATAAATTTATGGTACGTACAAAGCATGGCGTATTCGATTATAATATAAAAATCTCAAAACAAAAAATGGAGCAACTAAAAAAATTGTCCCTATGAGGAGGTATATACTCTTTACGAATATTTAGATATAACAAATTTTCAAATCTCATAAGAGGTTCATGTACCGGAAAAATAGAATCGAAAAGAAAAAGTCGTCGATGATATTTTTGCACATGATGTACCGTATCATATTATGAATAGCAAGGAGATGAAATATATTCGTCGAAATATATTGATCAAAGTAATGATTGGCCAAATAAAATGATACAATCATATTAAAATTGAACTCACTAGAGAAACTTGAAATTCTTGGACCTGGAGTCCAAAAATTTAGGTCCAAGAATTTTAAAGGTATATATTTATACAAAAAGAGAATGAGAAAAATGAAATCGTAATATGTAATACACAACTCTCAATACAGTGAATTTCGCAAAAATCGTGGTGGATGAAATCAAAAATCCATATCATATTATATTGACGTAGCTTGAATTTGAAATACGTAATAGTCAACTTATTTGACATGACTATTAATGTTATCGCTGAAGAATTTAATATGCCCGAAACATAATTCAAGCGATATTATCGTGAGAGAGAGGTAATACGCGTTGTACTTTTTTTCCTTGACTAAAGTTTTGTCCCATTTGATTTTCCTGATAAAATTTTTAATGAAACAACTTCATAGTGTACCTAAAAGATTAATATACTATTTTTCCTTCGTTAAGATTTTTTCCACAGAGTTTTTTTAATAGGGTTTTAAATGAGCCATACTATTTGTGTAATGAATGTCTATAATCTAATGATATTTACTCTCAAAATAATACTCTAATATGTATGAGATTCTTGAAAGATCCGCAAGAGTTATTTTTCAAATTGTCATGTTGTTACAACCATCAAATGTTGTTCAATATATCATATGAAGACAATGTTATCTAAAAAATATACAAAACAACATAAGATATACTTCTCAGAAATTACAATATTGAAGATATCGATGTACAAGACAATGATGAATTGATAATAGAATTGAAATCAGGGGGAGTAGCCGTGCTATTTTTCCTTCGAACAAGTTTTGTCCAACTAAATTTTCTTAACAAGGCTTTAACAAGACAGTATTAATTTTTTTTAATTCTTTTTTCATTTGTTAACATTTTTATCCTATCGAATTTTTGTCGAATAACGTTTTAATGAGATAGTTATTAGGTAAATAATCATTCAAGGGGGGTGTTGTAAATATAGTAATATTTATAAATGACTTTAATATCCTTACAATCTTAGTTATTATAATTGTTGTAGTCTAATTATTTCCTATAAATATGGGGTTTTGATTTTTAATAAAATACATAAATTTTATTGATTTTTCTCCTTTATTCTGTCATTTTCTCTCGTTTACAACTGTTTCTTTTTTAGTTGTATATTATCCAAACATATTTGTTGTCACATTATTTTCTAGGCCAAGCCAGACGTACTCTAAGATATTCTGTTAAGATTTTAAAATTAATTCGACATTACTAACACACAATATCTTTCTCCAATATTAAATAAGTTATGAAATGATTAACTTTTTATTCTTTTAAGTATTTTATAATAATAAATAAATTAAGAATATATTTCACGTGATATTATAAATATCAATTACACTTGTAAAGACAATGCTGAGACTTTAAGAACATACATCCTTCGAAAGTTACTTGCCAATCGTAATATAAACTATAACAGTTGTCACGTCAAATAGTACAAGCGTAAATAAAAAATAATGACTACGGTAGATATATGACGATCAAGCTCTTTATATATTACTATCATGTGCATTTAGGTAGTGACAACATTCTATGAGTTAACTAATTGTCCTTTAGATTGAGGCTAATTACTTATATGAAAAATTCACAGTTAGATCGATCAAGAAGGTACATGTTGTCACGCTAGATTGATTCTAACACGGTGAAATTTTTGATCTTTTTGTTTTATATTTATGAAGAAAAATATTAACTTGGTGATACATTTAGGATCAACATTATTTAGAAAAAATATACTACAAGAGTGATACACATAACATGAAAAATATCGAATCACATCTGTAGGGCCTTTTAAATTATTTCTTGATGAATTTCAATTCCTATAGAATAGAAAACTGTAACTTTTATGCAAAAGTAAGCAAGTTGACGAGATGCCAGCAGTTTAGAATATTTAGTGTAATTATTAAATAAATAAATCCAAAATGTACAGATGGCAAATATCTTGTCTTCTTCATCTGAAAGATTAGGAGGAATATGAAAAGCAAATACAATGGCAGGCTGGATATATCCGTAATTTAGAAATTTAAATTTGAGAAAATTGAGTTGACCTCTGTAATTGAAGGGTGGTTCGTCCACAAACGAAAGAATATTTTCAAGTGTATTAATACATAGAAAATTGTACTCCTTATCTCCAGTAGCACATTGATCTGGCCTTTCGTACAAGTACTAATTTATGTAATTCCCTTACGATCTTGCTATTTATAAAATCTTCAATTCGACTTATGTGTACATTCAAATTGATATCCTGGATGACACTCTACACACATGAGAATGAGGCCATAATTATTTTATTAGACTCAGGGCCCACACCTATGTGCGTGGAGAGTCATCTTGAATGCCAACCTGAATGTACACACAGCATTACAATAAAACTAAATAGATAGGGCCAAAGAGAGCAGCCCCCCTCCAATAGGGGGTGCCACTTGGCCCCCGTGGACTTGGCCTGGATTTGACCCTGTCCAAATAGCACCCTCCCATAACATTAATATACAATTTTCTTTACATCTTTGTTGACAAATGTTGATGTGGCATGCATTTGAGTTTTAATTTTAAATCAAGGACCAAAATACATACCACCCCAACATTTGTCAACAAAGGTGTCAAATAACCTCTATAGATGTAGCTTATTTGATTTCACGCACAAAGCTAGGTTTCGCCTCCCAATTTAAAATTTTGAAATAAGACGTTCTATGAGAACCACTTCACAATTTAACTAGGATTTGGATACTCTTTACCATTTGAGGCTGATGTGCAACTGCAATGAAATGTTACGACCAATTTGCTCATTTTTAAAGATTGAAGACCAACTTGTTATTGAGACAATAAATCAAGGACAAATGATGCAATTTTCCTAAAATTAAAACTAAAATTAGCGATGTTAACACAGCACGACAAGAATAGGACAGGCTGCCATTACCAAATCGCCCCATATTGGGGATTTTCAATAGGCATGTGATGATTAAAAAATCCTCATTACCATTAGTTTAGAAATTTCGAGACAGACCATAGTTCCCCGTCCCATTCACCATTTGGACAAGAAATTTTGTCATCCCTATAATTAACACAAAACGGTTAAAAATAGTCATGAAGAACCTTAATAGTGTCACTTAAGTGTAATTCGGATACACGACACAATATAGTATCGAAGACAAACAATTTGTAAAAGGCCGCAAAATGATATATTGTTTGCTGTAACATGAATCAAAGATAAAAGACCGTTCATGTTTTTTCTCACCTTTTTTTTTGTTGTTGGGGGGGAATTTTCACTACAAAATTAGAAAGATATATATATATATATATATATATATATATATATATATATATATATATATATATA